AATCTAACCTATACTACTATACATTCACACAACGTTCCTGGTTTTAGCGCGACTACGTCGCGCAGCTAGCCTAGTACGTATAATCACCCTTAAAAACAACAAAATCAAACACATGAACATAAATTTTGATCCTTGATCGCTCATCATAATAAAAAAATTTGTTTATCGTTAAAACATCCATTCAATAAATTATCGAACATACGTTCCTGGTCTCGCGTGACAGCATCGCGCAGATACCTTATTTGATAATGTAGTTCGCTTTTGATGTTTGATCAACAACAATGAGTTCTATATGATCATCTCGCATTAGACCTAAAGATTTACAAATTTAGCGTGAATACCATGCACAAATAATTTTTTTAAGTTACAATTAAGTCTACGATAAATATGTAAACCCAGGTTTATCTAGGGCTGTCATTTCTAAATTCATATTGATAACAACCTCTGACATAAAGATAAATCATTCTATTAGTATTCCAATTTTGATAAATTAAAATTTTGTATTATTTCGGGAAGAAATGCAGGTTTTGTAAATCTATTCACTAAAACACATTAATTTCAGAATTTAAACTGGATATTCACTAATGATTACGACCTGAAATTAAACACAGCAAAAAAGTTCATAAATAGGTATGGGGGTCGATTCTAAAGCCACTATCTATGGTCAATTTTCTGAGCTGATTAAATAATAATCAACAATTTTATTGATCATTTCCAAAAAAATTCAGGTACCGAACCTTTTTAAAATTTTACTATAATTGGTTGACTTATTTTAAATATACAGTAGATACAATAATTATCATTATGTACATACTTTACCGTATACAGTAGTACGTTAGATCATACTATGAAACTTTTTTTAGCTTTTTAGTTAGTCTCTTATCTAGATTTACGAGCTTCTTTTAGTTTTTACTTGATTTTTTTACGAATATGAATTGATTTAAATAAGAACATTTCATTATCAATAATTGGTATTTCGCTGCTCATCATATCTAATTATTAGTTTGGAAGGGGTGACAAAGCACCCATATATGCGATTTTAATAGTCATTGTACTCTTAAATCTTTCATTAGATTCAATTTATTCATATCAATTTAGCGATCTATATATTTTCCAAATTGCATTACACTCTTTATAAAGTAATTGATAAAATCATAATATGAAACTTTCCATTTTGTAACAAATAAAGAATTTTTTTTCAGATTAAACTAGATAGCTATCGCGCAAATCTGGAACGAAAACCTAAAAAAGAAAAGAGTTAATTATAAGCATGACAGCTAGATATAATCACATGATGAATTTGTGTCTAACCGATTACTCTACCCTTCAACTGATTACCTTTTCACCTATCAAATCAATCAATGTGACATTTATTTACACTGATTTTTAGTATCGATATGTGATATATCCGTCAAGTAATTATCTAAATGCACAATATTGGTAAATGAAGAAAATATCGATTTCCGTTTTTTCAATGAAGTTAATGTCATTCCCATGTGCTGCTGCTGTGAGAGTGACATTAACTCTGGTAAAAGAAACTTGCTGTAGTATAATTGTTGTTTCCACCTCTACAGTAAATATCTACGAGCATGAATAGATTATTTTAGTTGATCACTAATACTCACATAATAAAATAATCTTATTATACAGTAGACTAATTTAATACAAATTAAATGAAAATGATCAATTTATTTTAAGTACTTCGACTATACTGTAAATTACAGTATTATAATATTTTGATAAACGACTATTAACTATAAATAAAAAGAAATTAAATAAGGAATGAATAAATCATAAGCTATGTCAACGTGAATAAGAATAAATTAAACGAGAAGTAAATAATATATGAATGACGCTAAGGAAAATCCGGACTTCGATCATATAAATTTATATGGACTAAGTTTGGTTTTCCCTCAGTGTCATCTATTTAAACAAATTAAATAAGTGTCAGCTTACATTTGAATAACCGATTAAAATAGCAATTAAATAAAATTGAATGTAAACAAATTAAGTGTTAACGTATCTTTGAATAATTCGATTGATCAACATAAAGAAACTTATCTGCATTGATTAAAATCAATACGAATAATAAGATACGTAAACATAATAGCCTATGACTACACTTATTGAAATAATTGGGACGTAGTTCTTCTGATATACGAATCGCTTTCGAGATTAGGTGTAACGTAACACAGTCAAAAAGATTCAAAACAAACGTTCGTTTTGCCCAAAATCGAACATAACTCAAAAATCAGCATAAGAAACCACCTTTTGTGCTCTAATAAAAAGGTTTCGTAACCACCAATAACACAAATTTGGTTAAGAGACCTTTTCTTTCCAAAATAAAAAAAAAGTGCAATGTTATTACTTTCGAATTCTTATTATAACAACAGTATATTTCAAGGTTGGTATGGACTGATCAATATCCTATAAAATTTTTTTTCGAAAAACGTATCAGACTTTCTCCAGATTATCGTTTCGAAAAATGCATATTTTTCGGAACAAAACATATATAAATTTCTGGTTATTTCATAGAATCCCAGTAATTTTCGGGTAAAAATTAAATCCGGATAAGATCTGGCTTCTAATTATAATGAAGTACAAAAGATTAGAAGCCGAATCTTATCCAGATTTAATTTCCACCCGAAAATTACTGGGATTCTATGGAAATGACCAGGAATTTGTATATGTTTGTTCCGAAAAATGTGCATTTTCCAGAACGATAATGGACCGATAATCTGGTGAAAGTCGGGATATGTTTTTCAAAAAATTTTTATATGAATATATAATATTAATCGGACAAATATATATTATATTCGTGTATATTCCAACAGGTATATCAGGTAAATATCAACGAAATATCATATGTTGATATTTACCGATTAATGTTATTAACATGGACAATATCAGATCCATATCACAGTATCATGACTGATAGAGCGGATTTGGGTCAAAATCCCGATAAAAAAATCCCGACAGCCAAAAATCCAACAGGTAAAAATCCCGAAAATTAAAATTCTGTCATAAACCATAGCCAATTCTAGCCTAACCTTTATCTAAAGTGACCTAACACTAAAATTAATTATATTATAAGAGGCTACTTCACTTTAAACATACCAGATACCAGATTTTCTACTTGAAAATTCTGACTGTCGGAATTTTTAATTGTCGGGATTTTGACTGTCGGGATAATGACCTGTCAGGATCGGGCGATCAGACATATGATAGCTCTATCATTACCTGATGGTTTCTGGTTGTTCTATCAGCTTCTGATATGGATTTGATATTGCCCTATTTATATATGATATTTAAAGCAGTGACTCCTCCCACGTAAGACCAATTGTGATTGGCCAATTAAGTATATACTATAGTACACATTCAAACCCATCCCTAAAAAATTACGTAATATATGTCAGTGCCCTTATCTGATCTACTTTATTTTGACCTGCATTCGTGTAATCAAACTATTATATATAATAGGTCGCCAAAGACCATTTAACCAACGACTAGCAAATTTATTGACCGATAATTTAACCAACTCTGATATTTACTTCTGCATTACAATATATAATCTTATTTTTAAAGTATAAACGACACCATCACTATGAGAAATGTTTGTTTTTTGATAAATTTTTTGTTGATTATTTTAACATTAAAACTTCGATTAATCATGGCTGATGCTTATAAGGAACCTTTGGCAAAATTATGGGGTGTAAAAAAGAACGAATTAGCCAAACTAACCAAATTATTAAATATTGAGAAGAAATTATCTATGATAGATGAAATTATAAAACCATTACTGGATGACACAAGCTTTGGTGGAACCTACGTGGATGTAAAACAGAATAAGTTAATTATTAATACAGTAAATTTCTCTAAGGTCGATCCTTTAATATCATTACCAAATGTAAAACCACATGTAAATGATCTGCTTTTTAAAAATGTATCCAACCCAACGGCTGACTTAATAGTCAAGTATAATCGAATACTCGAATTAGCTCATGAGAATGAAGCACGCGTCGCATATATTTTCGATGACATGAAACGTAATAATATTGTTATAATGTTATACATAAAAAGCCGGAGACGAAACAAAAAATTTTTAAATGCAATTAAATCATTACACCCGACTATACTTTATAAGAGAAGATCTAATGAACCACCTCCTCTGAAGCTCACAAAAAGAGATCCAGTTGCTACTATAACTTCTATTACATTACTTGGAGAAAGAATAACTAGTCAAGATGATTATAAATTTGCAATTGGTTTTTTCGCGAAAGATAAAACAAACCCAAATCTAATTTACATGGTAACCGCAGGACATTGCGCTTCTCTGAACGAGACAATCTTTTATTACGGAAGGGTAATTGGAGAAGTAACTTCATGTAAACTTGCCCCATTCGAATATAGCTTAATCAAAATAACAGATGATAACTTCAAATCGTCAGCAATTATAAAGAATACAAATTCGAGTTTATATAATCAATTATTTGTCAACGATGTTACGACTCCATCTAGTATTGGCGTTCATTCATGCAAATCTGGCCCCTATTCAGATGTTACCTGTGGGAATGTAATATCATTAAATGTGCTTTATAAAGATCTCGGGGAAATACAACGTACATTCATAACAAATATGATATCTCTTGAAGGTGATAGTGGTTCGCCTACATTTTCTTATTCATCGGATTTACGCAAAGTAAGTCTAACTGGTATAGTCGATGGAGGTTATTATGGGACGACAACTGTTACGTCGATAAAAGAAATTCTTGAACATGCTAATTTAGAACCTATAACGCATGATTTCTCACTTATCAATTGAGAAATATACGGGTTAAATAACTCCTGAATATAATGGGTAGTGATAAACATTATGAATTGATCATCTTTGTGTATTATTGAACGTTCTTGAATACTTTGCTCTCATCTGATATTTTTTAAATTATATAAATATTTAAACTATCATATTCGCCAGCTTTTTGCTAATGAAAGCCGATCTATTCTAATCTCCTATAATAATAACTCATATTTATTTTCATTCTCTTAATAATTACTTGTATTTTTTAAAGACGTATCTAATTGTAACATGTTACACGCTTATTTGTAACAACTTACTTAGTGCAGCCCATAAAAATTCGTGTAAACCAAACCCTAACCCTAACTACTATTGGCTAATTACTGTAACAAGTTACAAATACATTTATTTATTCATTTATTAAAAAATATATATCATTTTTTATATAATAGCAACCTAAATATTTGGTACTGTTACGATCAGGGGAGAGACTTTATATCGGCTGAGCCAATTTAGCTTGGGTCATAAGCATTAAAATGAGAAACCAATTGTTTATTAACACACATAAGGAGGATTGTTGGTGCAGGTATAATTTTAATGGTACACCACTGGTGCACCAACAGATTTTTTGGAGGCGCGCCATTTGGTGCACCTCTACTACTAGTTTCTGGCATGTTCTAGCATCTATGCATTATTTGAGTGCCGCCAAGGTAAAACCAGTAATTCTTGATTTTTGGAAATTTCACTTTTAGAAACAGGCATTATCAGATTCTTATAAGTCGTTGCGCCAAATTAGATTTTGGAAAACTAACAATTACTGATTTTCCCTTGGCAGCACTCATTTTTAAAATGAATTATTTTTTTGCATAGTTTCATCGGCATTGATCACTTCACTGACAGTCATTTTACCGAAAGTTCATGTAGTCCTGGTATATATTTTAGTAAATTATCACTTGCTGTAATGTTGGCTATTAAAATGATTGTCAATGAACTAGAGGATGCAGATGTGGGCAGCTTCACCGCCTGGTATGTATCGGTATTATTTCTTAAAAGAAACAATGTATAATGGTTAAATGAGATTATATTAGTAGATTTACTCTATAAAAAAAAATTTGAAATCATATTCAGAATTTACTCAGGTTATTTTTTTAAGAGATGAGCATTTTCTGTAACAAATATCTATATAAAAACCTTTAAAATTTTCTGAATATTTTCTAATTTCCTGAATACTTTCAAAACCTTGTTAGTTTCCTGATTATAATTTTTATCAAGCAAAAAATTATAATCAGGAAATTAACAAGGTTTCAAAAGTATTCAGGAAATTAGAAAATATCCAGAAAATTTTAAAG